TGGGCCTAAGGCTGGGTGGCTGGTAAGCATGTCAATCCGGGGTTTGGCTGTCCCGGTGACGGTTCAGGCTCTTATCCCATTGGCGGCAATCTGGGCTTTTGGAGGGGTGACAATTGGAGCTGTCTCTTCCCAGGGGGCTGGAGGCCATGGTTGGTGGCTTCGAGGATGGAGAAGCTGCCTGATTTGCACAAGGGGGACTGGGGCTTCCCCTTGGTAGGAGTTGGTGACTGCCTCGCCAATCATCATGATCACTTGCATATGGAGAACGGGAAGGTTGTTCTCTGCTCTTCATCTCTAGCTCGTCAAATCTTTCCACCAACTTCTCCACTGACTATGGGCTGTGGACAGGTACTTCCACTCACCCGAGTCCTCAGCGGTAGACAATTTTGTGGTTCTCCACCGGTCTGGGGAATGCGACGTGAGGGAATCCCCTCTTTGCAACTCAACCTCGTCTGCCTTTGAAGCATTTGATGGTGGCAAGGCCGTCTCGAGGTGTCTGGAGTCTCTGCTGGGTAGGACCAGATCAGCTGTCCTTGCGGCTTGTGTTTTGCCCCCAGCTGGATGGTCTGAAAAAGTTCCTTCTGCACCGGCGCATTGGCTGTCGCTCCCCCCTCTGGGGTAGTAGCTGCCGGTGGGGTGCTGGTTTCAGGCGCTCTTTCTTTCTCCATGCTGAGATCTTCCCTGAATCTTTGTCGGCTTATCCTTCAATTCTAGGGACAGCGACTGAGGCTCAGGATCCCAAGATAGTTAGGAAAAAATTGGAGTTTTTGGCTTAATGTCATGGTTCCGACAGATGAAACTCTTTAAAAGAACTTCGAGGCATTGTTTATCTTAAAGTATATTTTCTTCGAGAAACAAAGTATCGGCACTACATAGCTAAAGCCAAAAACTACCCCCCCCGCACAAAGCACAATTCCCTCATCCAATTAGCAGTCATAAATCACATTCCTCAATTAGCTTGAAGCATGGGCTTTCTCCCCAGCTCTCCAGCCCACCAAATCTTTATCAGCTCTGGGTACAATAACCTTGATTCCCACGGCTGAGTTATTGTTGTTATGAGTAACTGGACTCTCATCCACATCTCTCCCCCCCCCAGCATAATCTAACTCTAAAAGTGAAAGAGAAAAGATGGCTACATTTCCATCGGTTGTCAAAGCAAGAACATCTGATATTAGCAGTGTTGACATTAATATGGTTTTTGTGTTGCTTTGCTACTGATATTATTTTAATTCCTGATTGGGAGCCACGGAGTTTGGTATAAGATGGGCGGCTATATAAATGTTTTAAATGAATAGCACAAATATGTCATGAAGTCACCTGGATATTTGTAAATGTCATTATGTAAGGTTATAAAATTGTTATAGTGCTACTTTGCTTCTACACTCCAGATGTATAGAAATAAATTCTTTGTAAATTTATTATTTTCTGATATCTCTCTCTCTCTCTCTCTCTCTCACACACACACACACACACGCACGCACGCACACACACAACTAGTCAACCCAATTTTTAGTTAAGCAGATTGTTTGAACTCCAGAAGAATCATGGCAGGAAAAGCCATTATGCACCCTACCTGGTTTTGTTCTATGTGATGCCTCACATCTCTCATCCAGTTTTGTAACTTCTTTTTTAATAATAATTTTATTAAAGATTATAATTCAAACAGTTAAGAACTAATACAAACTAAAAAAAGAAAACACAGAAAATAAAAAGAGAAATGGAAAAAAATAAGAATGTGGGTAAAGATGTATTTGAAGAAGTTACTTCCTATCTTCATCACAAGTATACACAATTTTACTATTTTTTTACCTTCTATGGATAAGAGATGGGATATGGGAATCATATCCCATCTGTTATTTATAAACAAATCCCTAAAGCCTTGTTATTCAATCTTATTCAGCAAAAGTCCATTAAGGATTCACCAGAGATAACGTAAAATCTTGATCAAAGAAGCCAACTTTATATTCCTTCCATTTTATTTTTAACAATACTGAACTTTAATTCTTCCAAACAATGTCCTAGAACTTGTTTTTATTTTTTCTTTGTCACTTTTCACAAATTATTTAACACTTTCAATAACCTTTGTAAATACAATACAGGAACATTATTAAGGGCACTCTTTTAGTTTATTATTTATACATATTTATTTCAATTATTAACGTATTAGCCGGTTTCATTTGTATATCCAGTGTATCATCTTTTTCCATGTTATTCTGGTAGGCTATCATTTTAAAATCCAAGTTCAGATGAATTTCAGTCTCATCCAGTAAAACTTGTTCTTCCATAACATTTTTAACTAGTCGATTTATAGAGGCAGACCCTCTTAAAATTAACCTCTGGCTCCATTGTTCAAAAATATCCTTCAATATGTCCAGAGCTAAGGTATTTTGTATAATTCTGTATGACCCTCAAAACCATGGTTCTTCAACAAGATTCATTATTTCAATATTTGGATCAGTATTTTGGGAGAATTTTGGTTGTCATAAAGTGCTGTATTACATGATTCTCACCCTTCTAGTGGTCATCCTTTCCTTTCCACATCAGTGCTGTGAACATTTAACAAATCTTATTTTTCCTTTCCTTTTCCTCTTCTGATGTCTTCTCTTTTCATTTTGAAAAGAAATTCAGGAGCAGAGCATAACCGCTTGGAACAAATCACACAGCATCCGCTTTAAAAAGCTCTTGGTAGCCAACAGAAAAGCAGTGACCCATAAAACCTAAAATTATAAAATTAAAGGATGCAAAAGGATGTGGCTGTTTTGTTTAAAGTGGCTGAACTGCATTAAGTACTGAGCTTCAAATATTTCAAGAAGACCACAGAACAGATTTTTCCAACCAAAGCTTTCCACTTAGTTCCTGCCTTTGGACTTTATTTCCTGCCAATTTTCTCTAACACTACAAAATACTGGTCCAGAATTTTATTGCTGTCCTGGATATAATGAAATTGCAAAAGGGAAAAAAATGTATCTTTATTGGTTTTGGTCACTCCCTTTCTAGTATTTAATGAATAGGCATCTTTCTTTCCTGTCCTTCCTGCTTGCATACTCTGAGATTCAAAATTTCTAAAAGTGCTTCCATTGACAGTATTAGGACTCAAGTGGTGCAATTATACGGAAGTGTTTCATCAAGTCCCAAGGCTTCTTTCATAAGGACTCAAAACTGGGCCCAGAAATTAGCTGAAAGACCAGCAGGATAAGAATAGTAAAATATGATTCTAACATTTGGTCTTAATTTTAGGTATTCTGGTTTGTCATAGAAAAATCTCAATCATTTATTTTAGTGTGTAAAATATCTAGTATGAAATAAATTTAAATCCCTCCTAGAGTATAACTTGGTTTTAATGGCTTTCTTTTTGGTTACAATTCAGGGGTGTCAAACTGCCGGCCCATGGGCCGGACGCATCACCAGGAAACTGTGCCCATCCCATTGCTGGCAATGGAGAAAAAGCTCCGAAATGGTCGCGAGTTTGACATGTCTGGGTTACATTAATCTTAGCCCAAATTTTCAATGAGCAAAATCTTAAAGCCATTGATTTAGATCTACTGAAATCAGTAGCTGCATAATTTTTTTGTGTGTGCCTTGTGTCAGTCTTGATTCCGACTAATGGACATGTCCATCAGTTCCCTAGTCAACATTTTTGGAAGTGATTTACCTTTGCTTTCTTCCTAGGGCAGAGAAATGATTAGCCTGGCTTTCAACCAGCTGGCTTTGTGCTTAAGGCAGGATTTGAATTTAGGTTTTCTGTTCTTAATCCAATGCCCTAATCACTAGATTTATCTGCCTCTCTACATTAAGAAATATTTACTTCAGCATATTTTGATATATTTTGAGAAAAAAATATAAATCCATATATTTTATGGAGCCTATGTAAAGCTCAGTTTCTTAAGTTAAAATTCATGCAGCATTTTAGGGCTCATGCAAATCTGATAGTTTGTGCAGCCCCATAATTGCAGCTATCTTTTGGTTCAGTAAAACCTTGACTTTATGGACTCCATTAAGAGGGCTTCAGATATAGGGGACAAACTTGAATTTTGCCAAACCACAACAGTGATAATTCCAGGAGCAGTCCAGGCCCAATCTATCTAACTTTTCTGGCAAAGTGAAAAGTTCTTCAGAAAAGATTCAGTTTACACACCCATGCACACCGTCTGCCCTGAGGTTAGAGTCAACCAGTAGAGTGATTGCAGGTAATCTGGATTAAACCTAAATTGGCAATTTAGCAATCCAAGCCCAGCATTAACTGAGCATCAGAGATGTTAAAGAAATATTTTGTGTGTCTAAGGAAGTCACTTATCCTCTTTTATAGATGCCATTTAAAGCTATGTAGGGTTTGGGCTATCTACATCAAATTAAGATGGGGCCATTTAGGCTCCTGAGTTCCACTCCTTGTTTAATGAATTCAAAGACAAGTCTAACTTGATGATGAATTACACAAGTTAAGAAAGTACGGTGTAAAAAGAGCTACAGAGCTCAAGAATAAGACTTTTGTTACCTGCACAAAGTTCTAAGCCCAGTTCCCAGTTCAGCAACGTAAAAAAGAAATCTGGTCTAGAAGCCGGAATCATTTGCTGCTTGTCATTGATAAAGCCGACGGACCTCAACTTTGACTGAGTGTCAAATATTTACTGACTGCAAGGGTGACTTTTAGCCTCGGTGTGAGTTTAACAACAAGTTTTAAGGTTCACAAAAATGCGATGCCTGTTGGAAGCATACCATACTCTCAAGTATCTTCTGCAGAAAGAGGCAGCGTTTTCCTCCTTTGCTTCCAGGCATAATTTTCTAATCATGTTCAGGCATAGAAATGCGTGCATTTGTCTCGTTGGGGCAGTGTAGGGGAATTTCCCCCTCCCCCCAAAATAACCCAGTAATATGACGCCAGGAAAACAAAAATAAAAAGGGGCAGAAACTTAATTTCAATGGATGAGAAAAAAATTAATGTTTAACAAGATAGGATGGTCCGATGGGAAAACGGTGGCGTGATCCGGCACATCCCCGCCCCAAGATTTAGAGGAGCACACCAACGTGTGGGCCAGGAGGAGGGAAAGGAAAAGCGAGAGGTGTTTCTGCGCGTGTGACGGTGCGCACTCGCTGGGATGGACGCTTAGCGTTTGCTACTTCCGATCGACCCGCAAAGCGAAGGGCAGTTTATAAACCCAAGTCGGTAGAACAGTCCGGGTCCCAAAACAGGGTCGCCCTGCTGGCGTGTTTGCTCGGCCTGGGATTCTCCCTCGATTTGGCTCTAGGCCGGCGTTGCGGTTTTCCGCACTCCAACACTTGCTTTGCAAAGCGCGACGCGATGGGCAGCCCTGGCTTTTCGCGCGCTTCGCGGTTGTTGCTGCTCGTCGGCGCGCTCGCTTGGTTAGCTCCGGCGGCCGCCCACTATGAGGCGGACGAAGGCGAAGAGCTGATGCGCGCCTTCGCTTTAGAGGAGGAGAACCTGGCCGAGTTCGCCAGACACCGAAGTTCACCCGCACCTTTCTACCGGAGCAATAAGGTGAGGCGGCAGGAGAGGCGAAAAGGTGGCGTCGAAAGGAAGGAGGAGTGAGGCGCGCGTGGAGCTTCCCCACCTCGGGGCTGGGGCTCTTTCTCCCCCCCCCCACTGGGCTCCGGAGGCGAGTGGGAGTTGCGTGTTTGCGGTGCTCGGGTGAAGTGGTGGCGGTTTGGAAAGAAGCGGCGCCGCTGCCGGTTGCGATTGGTGTAGCGGTCGCCTTGCTCGCCCGGCCAAGGCAGCTTAAGCGCAGCGTTGGCTGCGCTGACCGGAAGAGTCTCGCTTTGCTAGTTTGGACCCTGTTCTCATCCTTGGTTTATATCGTCAGGTAGCCGCGTCCAAACACCGATGCCACAGTCGTGATGGTGAAGCCGGTGGAGGACGCTGCCTAATGGGGAAATGCATCTGCCTGGTGCAACGATCTGATGATCTCAAGCTGACCCGTTGATCGCTTTCCTCGGAATACGCCCAGTGAATTTACAGGGTCTTCTAGGGAGGCAGGCTGTAGATGAAGTGGGTTACGACTGTGGGATTGTATGCATTTGCCCTTAAATGGCATAAAGGAAAAACAACAACAACGAAATGGAGAAGACAAATGTGGGGCAGTTGTTAACATTGCAACCCCTCTGAAAGTCTATGGAGATTCTCAGTCATCCAGGCCACTATTGTTCCAGAGGTGCTATTAATTGATCTTAGAACTAAGAAGCTTCTTGTGTGAGAAGCAAAATGTCTTCAAAGAAAAACAAAGTCCAGTTGCCTTTTGAAAAAGCACCTTTGGGACACTCTGGTTCCACTGATTTGGGATTTCTTTATGTACAGCTGTCAGTTCCAAAGGAGAGGTATTGAAAGCTCTGTTTCTTTGCCTTGAAATGCTCCACTATAAAAGCCATGCAAGGTGGGCTTGGATTTATCTAGTCATGAAGCATATGACTCCTTGCAATCTTTCTTTGCAGTCTGCTTAGCTTGCTCCAGAGCAAGGATCTGGTATTTTAAACAGCGTCCCAGGAAAAGGGTCACTAGAACAATACTAGCAACAGTGCCATGGCAGGTGTCCTCTGTCTCTTTGTTCCCTCTATCTGAACCCTGGATTTCCCAATGTGGACTTGGTGTTTCTCCCTTGCCTCTGGCATTCTGCTGCCACATTCGAACCTCTGATGGAAGGCATGATGAGAATTGAAGTGATGGGTGAATGAGTCAGAAGGCACACGTGGTTTTAGTAACCACTTATAATGGAACAACCTTCAGGAAAACAGGAGGAAGAGAGGCCCCACACAGGTTACGGTCAGATAAAAGGATCTGAATCCAGAGCAGAAATATAATCTGAGTAAGCATCTCAGGCATGACTTTAATTCTCATGAAGATAAAGGAAGAGTTGGAGAATCACATCCAAACTTGCAAGAATCTGTTACTATAACCTTGTAATAAAGTAGTACCGGTATTAGCATTCGTAACTTTGTCGTCCTTGTCTTATCTGCCTTGAAGGGCTGGCACCATGGAATAATGATAGGCAGGGTCTGATTTAAACTGGTGAAGCCCCTGAGTTATGGGAAAATGTAGAAGTACGAGAATAAGGCTGTGCAATAAAGCAGAAATGCTATGAAGATGCACAACAAACCTGTAATGGGGTGAAGAAAGGCTATTTCTGAAAAGAAATACATGTAGAAACAAAGACTAAATTAATCCAGGAGGGTCACGTATGCCATACAGGAAGCTTAATTTTTGGAGACTTTCAGATATAATAAGCTAAATTTAAAAAAAACTGAAATTTTGAGAAGCCTCTTCAGATCTCACAATCCTAAATGTAGCTTATGCCTAAATCTAGCAGGCTGGAAGAGCGTGACACAAGATAGTTTTATTTTTTCTATAAAAAATTGTTTGGATATATTGTAAGTATAACTGGTGACTCACCAGTGATTTACAGCATCTTCTTAACCTCATTCAGTTCTATTCTGACAAAGAAAAGGTTGGATGACCATACTAATAAGTTGCTGGTTAAGAAATAATATAAACTATGTTGCCATTATGCTTTATTAAACAATAAAGTTCCCTTGAAGGGTTTTTAGAATAAAGCACAACAGTACTGCAATTTGATGATCTGTGCAACAAACAAAAAAAACACCTTTCATTTTAGAAAATTGGCCAGACATCAGTCATTTTGACAGTGTGACCTAAGGCAGCTGTCTGCAGTTGATGTGATGCGCTAACACTCCCATAATCTACCTTTGCCGAGAATTGTGGGCAAGGTTGGGGAGTGGGAAAAACTATCACTTCCTCGTTGTTTTCCAACAAGTGTGTGCCTGTAGCATCCTGCTTAAAGAACCCAAAACTTCTGAAAAAAGTCTCTGTGTTTTCTTAAGAATTTCTTGGGCAACTCTTAATTAACTCATGCAGATGAGTTAAGCTATTTGATCCAGGAAGTACAGTAATTTGAGCAGAGGAACAAGTATCAACTACATAACGTTATGCTCGCTTGATTTGTTTTAAGGCACCTCTGAGCCTTCCTTGTTTGGTTGGAATGTATTTATTCTGAGTACATTTGATTCCTATGCAGTGGTAGCACCAGCCAGGCAGAGAAGGACTGTAAAATAATGATGGAAACCAACTTGCTTAATTGCTGCAAGACACACCAGAGAAATTTACCTGATGTTTAGAGGATGCTAGAGTTCTAGTTCAATATTGGATGAGGGATATTAACTGAAAAGGGCAGGCAAGCAAGTGACAGTGGAGTTTCTATATTCACAGGTATTTTATCTCCTCATTGAGATGGAGGACATTTTCTCTTTTTTGCACCAAACAATGGCACAAATACGCCCGACAGTGTCTTTTTTCTGTCTTCATTTTGCCTCTGACCCATGAGGCTTAAGTTGTCCTTTTCGATAGGGTGCTAAAGTAGTATTTTCTCCTTATTCCAACACTATCTTAAAGGTACCATAAATTGTGTAAAATCTGCCAGGTTAATCAAATATTATTTCAAAGGAAAATGGGGATTGTAGGGCCATTCTTGATATAATGTAGGAAAGTCTGATTACTTTTAGGTGGGCTCTCCCTCTCTATCTGCCAGGTCTCTTGAGCTGAGTCCTACCTATGAGACTAGAATTAGGTTGAACAGAATCTAATCAATCACGCTGGGTGGGGAGCTGCGAGGTGAGGCGGAAGAGAGAGCTGTCTCTTTGATGCTCGATGGCACGGTGGCTATTTTGTTTAGTTCTTGCTTGAACTGCTTTTAAGCATGACTTTAGAGCTCTTCTAGAATAGCATGAAACTCCTGTTATGCTCCTTTTGAATAAAGAGTTAGTGCTCTTTTGCAAGAGTTTTGACTGATGGCTACAGTCTAGTCAAGGGTAAAAATCGATCTCTACCCCAGCCTCATCCAAGACTTGTCCCTTCAGTTGACATGGGTGGAGTGATTTGGAAATTGCCAAATACTTGTCTCTTCTCCCATCAGCAGTGCCAAAGCAGGATTGTTTGATTTCTCTCCTGTCAGTTTCTTCAAGGTTTACAACAGCCATATTTCCATAAACAAAACCAATTAAAAGACTATATAACGGCAATTCGGAAATAAACCTCTGTTTGAGCATGTGAGAGAAATAGGCAGGGATAGCGACACCTGTCCAATGGCGCCATGCGCAGTAGTTCAGTAGGCAGTGAGGAATGGAAGGAGAAGGTTGTGTTGCAGATCAATTGAAAATGAACCCTGACATAGAAAATCCCTCCAAATGTGAAGTGTGTGCAGTAATAGGATTCCTTCGTGCGAAAAAACTTTCGGCAGCTGTGATTCATTGCGAACTGTGTAATGTTTACGGACCAAGCGTAATGAGTGAAGGTATCATACATCAATGGTGTTGCATGTTTAAAGATGGACAAACTTACATGCAGGATGAGGCAAGAAGTGACTACCCGATGAACTTGTGCAGGAAATTGACAAAAAAGTCTGTGAAGTCCATTGGTTCATGATGTCTGCACTTTCTTTACACTTTCCCCAAATTTCTCAGACTATTTTATACGAGGTAGTGACAGAAAATTTGGGATACCACAAGTTCTGTGCTTATTGGGTGCCAAAACTCCTTTCGGAGGAGCACAAAACACACCAAATGGGTTCATGAAGCTGTTACAGGGTGGCTTCATTCATAGGCGGGAGAATTTTTTGCAGAAGGAATTTCAAACCTTGTAAGACATTATGACAGTTTGAATGGTGATTATGTCGAAAAGTAATGTAATATTGTATTTTTCTAATGTGTATAATAAAAGTTCTGTATCTGCGAGTGTCTGTCATTGATAACCAAATGGAGGTTTATTTCCGAATTGCCCTCGTCTAACTAGACAGAAGGAATGTTAAACCAGGATAGCAGTTGATGAATGTGTTACTCGAATTCAATATGAAATCCTTGCGTTCCTCAAATGAATTAGCAGAGAAGTTAATATACAATATTCAGGGCATAATTAGAGATAGTGCGGGATTCGGAGTAGTATCTTTTGATTCAACCACAGTTTTATGGCTATGAAATCCTGGACTTCTTCTTTACCAAACTTTGATAAAAATGAATATGCAATGGAATAGTGTTGATGAGTAAGATTACATTATATAGAAATTCTGGAAAAGAAACAATTTTTCTAGAATGACTTTTCAGGACATTTCATTCACTCAGCTGTGAAACCCACCCAGACTATGTAAATTAGCACCAACACAACCTGCACAAACGGAGTAAAATACTCTTTTCTTTATAAGTTTCTTGTTATAACTGATACAACTGAAGTGTACTTCAGCTTCCACAATCCTTCCGCTAAATGACCAACCAAGGGATTTTGGAACTTGAAATTTAACCTATTTGGAAGGCTATTTTTAGATCAATGCATCCCACTTGATTACTGCATTTTAGCAACATATTTTTTGTGTGCATGTCATCCTAGCTTGATTCCCTCTGATCCATTCTCTGCTTCTTCTTATCTGAACCCAGGAGTCATGGCGCTTATCTGGACATTATATTGTGGTACTCAAGGAAGAAACCCTTAAATCCCAAATCCTACAAACCGTCAAGCGTTTGCAAGCCAAAGCAGCCAAGCATGGCTATATGACCAAAATCCTGCATATCTTTGAGGAGCTTATCCAGGGCTTTGTTGTGAAGATGAGCAGAGATGTGCTGCATATGGTAAGTTCAATTCAAACTTGATTGTCTACATGTTAACCTGCTAGTTAACCCTAGGACAGTGATGGCGAACCTTTTAGAGACCGAGTGCTCAAACTGCAACCCAAAATGTATCGTTGGGTGCTGGGTGGGTGTGGCCCATTGGATGGGCATGGCTGCGGTGGTAACGGCAGACTGGGTGGGACTAAAAAGTTCAATCAATCAATTTCAACTTTGCGAGATCTTTTTTTTCCCGCGAGAAGTTGAAATTGACTGATTGAACCTTTCTTTTTTTTGGGACACGGCGGCAGAGGCCTGAAGTGAAAAGGTTTTATAAAACCCAATTGAAGGCCTAGGACTGGGGCGACGCCGCGCGTACCCACAGAGAGGGCTCTGAGTGCCGCCTCTTGTACCCGTGCCATAGATTCGCCACCACTGCCCTAGGAGTCTGCATGTAAAAAAATGGCTTCTGTTCAGGCAGGTAGTCCTCACTTAAGGACCGATCACTTAGTAACCATTTAAAGTTACGATGGACCCAAAAATGTTACTTACGACCCATACTTGAAATTCCAATGGAAGTCTGCCCCTTACAGTCATCTGATCGCATTTTCAGCACTGAGTAATCAACCCAGTGCGGCTGTTTGCAGTAAAAATATTGTAAATCACAGCTGTGCAGTGTCCCACGGTCACATGACTGATTTATAACTTATTTGCCAGAAACTGGTGTTTACTTCTGGTTTCCGGCCAAAAAGTTCATTGCGGACAGTAGCTTTGCTTTGTGATAGCAGTGTTTGTTTTATGACAGCGGTGTTCATTAATGACTCACAAAAATGTCATCAAATCAGGTCATCATGTGATGAGTCACTTAATGACTGGCATGACTTATGACTAATTATGGGTTCAATTTCAGGTAATGACTACTGGGATATTATGGGCAGAGCTTTGATCAAATTATCATGGTAGCCATCTTAACTTTTTTGACCATACCTTATGGTACATCTTCCCAGTTATTAACATCACTGTCAATAGCAACTGAATATATAAACAACAAACCTGGTAATATTGTGATTTAACCAATTTACTTGGAATGTTTGCTATAAATTAAATTTATATTATCTCTGTTATTTAATACAGATAATATTATTCTATACGGGAGGAATATCTTTCTTTTAGTTCCTTATTAGATGCTTTTTTTCACCACATTCCAAATCAGAATTTGTTCATCATTTGGGGCGATCTAGTACAAGTCTTCATTGCAAAGAATTAATTTTACCATATTTACAGAAGACTTCCATATCTGTGGGTGTGCATGTATGTTTCTGTGTGCTTCTCATGATTGCTGGCTAGAGATAATGTTGAGTACGAATGGAAAGCATCACTGTAAAGAAGCATGCCATAAACAGAGGCTTGATTTATATTTAATCCTTCCTCATCAATGAAAAAAAATCAGTCTGTGCTTACCTAAACTACATATTCTTTTGAAGTGACTTCTGGTGATTATTCAGAGGAGCCCACATCATTTTCTTAGCAATAATAGTTGTGTTCTTCCCAGTTATGGGATTTCTTAGTAGTCTCCCATTCAAGTACTCATCATAGGTTAGTAAAAGTTGGCTAGATGTTGCCACTTGCTGTGGGAGATAAACTTTTCTGGATTTTTTTTTATTTCCAGGAGTGACAAAAACCTTTATTTTATTCAGAAAAAAAAATCAACATATTGCAGCTACTGAATATGGCATTCCAAATGATTTAATTTTTTAGTTGGAAGTGACTTGTATTTTGGCAAATTGCTTAAGCTATGATAAGGCAGTAATTCATACTTTGCTTTAAGAACCAAAGCACATTCTGAGTTGGAATTGTTGACATACTAATTTTAGAATTCTCAAAGACTGTGTGTGATTATTCTTATCTACCATCACACGCAGGGTGTGTAAACACATACTTTACAGGCATAGTTCACTGAGAAAATTAGCTACAAATTTGGATCTTACCAGTGCTTTTTTTCTAAAAAAAAAAAAAAAAAAGGTGCTGGAACTCACACACGTCATACAACCCGCCTTGCCTACCCTACAAGGTTCCATCTAAAAAAGGTGCCGGAACTCCATTCTGGGCGTTCTGTGAGAAAAAAAAGTCCTGGATCTTACCATTTTGAATGGCATAGTTTCCAGTCTTTATAGTACCCTTTGTTTCTTTATATTAGTAATTGATTTTTGATTGTTTCCTTTGCATTTTTAGAAATTGCTTTTTCTATAGAAAAGTAGGTATTTTTCAGCTTGTACACCTGTATGATTTGGTAAATTGTTTTTATAATGATATGCCTCTGATTTTCTGAACGTTCACAGACCCATGATGGATAGAGAACAAATGTCAATAGTTACCATATCTTTGTGGCTTCAGCCGTATTTGCAAAAATGGCAGTGTATGTATAAAGCATGCTTTTATCATGAGGCTGTACCCAGCTTTGTTGAGAGGGCTTGTTTTTAGGAGTCATTTGCTTGCCCTGTAATAGACATAGTTCTACTCAGGCCATATAATTCCTGCTGGCATCCATGTCCTGTGTACCTACTTTACAATCTCAGTTGTGAATCTCTCCTGTTCCCATTTATTCCCACAGAAATGGGTAGGGGAAGGCATTCTGCAAGAGCTTTGCTGTTTTGTTTACTGTTTGAAAATCAGAGCTTTTTAAGCAATTGCTGATTCTGTGCAAACATTTCAAAAGTTTCCGCTAATGTTGCAAGACCCAGTAGGGTAAGGAGAAGTGCTTGGTTAATGGTTTCCCTGATGCCAAATGGATGTCAGGTTGCTTTGTACACAAACGTGGTAGAACACTTGTGCAACAGTCTGAAGTGGATGCACCCAGGCACCACATTTGAGGATGGCCTTCCCTATCCTGGTGTGCAAATGGTCTGGTTGGTTGGGAATTTTGAGAATTGAAATCTAGCCCACTTGGAGGCACTTTCTTGGGAAATTTTTTGAAAGGGAAATAAATGATTCACTGGAGAAGTCAGGCTTTGCTGAGACTTTCTACTCTTGGATGGAAGTCTTTGCAGGGCAACTTTCTCCATGTAGAGGCAACGGTATAGAGCCAAAACTTTAACCTTTTGGATTACAACTCCCATCATTTGAAGCAGACTTTTTTCTCATTTCATTAGATTTTTTACACCTTCAAAGCATTTAATTCAATGCGGAAAAGATGGGAAAGGGAAAAAGGGGTGTTGAAAGTTAAGATTAGGCAGAAAGGCCATTGGAGATGTGTGGCCAATAATTTTAAAACAATCAATCAATAAAATAATATTGAAGTGACCCAGTGGTGGGATTCAAATATGTGAACAACCGGTTCTCTGTGGGGATGCCACTTCTTCTCCTTTTTTTTAAAATATGTTTTATTAGTTTTATAGTTTTAACAAAAAGTATTTGAGACACACTGTGGTGTTTGGGTAAACACAAATTCCAACATAAAATCACACAATAATAGCTCAACTTAATACATTCGCTATAATCTCTCTATTTTCCTCAAGTAACATAATAAATTTAATATATTTCATTTCTATCCCAAATTTCTATTATTACTAAACCTGCTTATTAAAACTTTATCAATTTCAATTACCATAATCAAATAATGTTTTACATCAACATATTACACCTTCAAATAACTCTTGCAAATATATTCAAGTTCTTAATCTCTCTCATCCCTTTTTTATCACCAATCTTATTTATTTCTTCTTCCAATAATAACTAATTTAATTAAAAAAGACAATATTATCATATCATATCATATCGTATTATTATACACAAATATCTCTTAATTAATTAAACATTACACATATATATTTATAATTTTCTTACTTCTAAATCTAGATCATTTGACTTAATTCATTTCCATTCATTAAACAAACCAAATTCCATCCAATTAATTACCATAACGAAACATATTATTATACACAAAAATCTCCTAATTAATTAGACATTTCAAAATTACAGTCTAAATCAATCTATTACTCCAAGAGATGCATTCTTAGTCTCTATAAAGCCAAGTTTCTTTTTTCATTCCACATTTAACTTTCATATTTCCATACCAAAAAGCAAAAAAGTCATCAAACTAAATTAAACACACATGAATATAATTGTGGATTGATTACTTCTAAGTCTAAATCATTATCCTTAAAACAATACATAAAACCAACATTGCCTTTTAATCCATTTAATAGTTTTTACTAATTTAAACACACATGTGTATATTTGCATTTTTCACTCTAAATCATTATCCTTAAAGCAATCCATGAAATCAACATTGCCTTTTGCTCCGTTAAACATTTTAAAATTTGTTTTTGAGTCTGATTCTGGGTTTCTTTCTATGCCACACCGGCTTCCATAAAGACGCTTCCCTTTCAACCAGTAAATCCATTCTCGATGCTTGTAGTAATCTTTGAGCAAATATATATCCCTTTCTCTATAGTAAGCATCTTTTTTTCTCTTTCAACCAATAAATCAATTCTTATTACTTGTAATAATCTTTGAGAGAATATAAACCTCTTCCTCTGCAGTAAACGTCTTTTTCTGTTCTCTTTACGAAGTAATTGCTTTGTATTTTGAAGTCTTAGTCTTTGCTTCTTCTGTTTATCTAATTTGCTGGAGAAGGGATTGTCAGATGAAATAAATTCCACTTCTATCTCTGTAAATTCCTCTTCTGGCACATTTTGATTTATGCCATAATCAGTTGTAACCTGGACATCAGTTTGGGCAAATATAGTAGAGTCTCTGGATCTTAATTCTGAAGTAGTTTTTAAATGTAGAACAAATTTCTGCAGTGGCCTCATAAATCTTTTCCAATATAAGTGGACAATTCAGTTGTATCTGAGGGTTCTCCATTTTAATACTAATGCTTAAAAGGAGATCTCTTTTTCTTTTTTGTAGAGGCTTTGTTTAATGTAGAAACATCCACCCCCACAGCTTCACAGGTGCACAGAAGAAGAAATAAGCAGGGTTGCAGTATTAAATTTTCACCACTAGATGTCCTTTCCAAAAATCAGGGTTTTTTTTGTCTTTTAAGGTAATATAGGGGGTGCAGGAAGAAACGGATCACCAGAGTACAATCTATCCAATTAGGTCCGATAAGGAGATCAAGGAGCCGGGTGCAGACTCTGGTTTGCTTATAAGAGACTGTCCCACTCTCTGGCGTTTTAAGCCCTGATGATGCCGGCAGGTGACGGCGAAAGCTTGGCGTTTTTAAATTAAACTTTTATAGTTTTAATTACCTTGGTGCTCATTTTATTTTAACACACACACACACACACACACACACACACACACACACATATATATATATATATAGGTAGAAATAGTAAATTTCTTAAAAAGAAAGGAGAGAGAAGCCTTTTTCTTTTTTCCTTTTTAATATCCCAATAAAAATAGATTATAGCCTTTCAGTATTTGTTAGATGCCTTTCTTCCCATAAAAAAGCAGAAGCCGCCTTTCCAAGCCAGGGAAATAATTTCAAAAGCTCTTTACAGGCACACAATTGAAAAAATAAACGGAAAAGAGAGAAAAATAAGAAAAAATTCTCACCCGGATTCACCACGGGGGCACTAAAAGCTTAGATGTTATTCAACTTACAGTCTGAAGCGGCAGGGCGATCAGCCATTTTTCTGTCTGATCTTCTTCTCCGTCGGTCCTCAGAGTTTTGTCCGGACAGCTGGAGGAGCCGCCGCTCCTCCGCAGCTGGATCGCAGCCTCCTTGACAGAAGTCGCACCCTCCAGGGCGACTTTGGACCCGTATAAGGGTCCACCGATGGAGGGAAACCTAGTCGACGAGGAGAGAAGTCTCCTCGTACGACTAGTGACGCCGTGAACGGAACCGGAAGTCTATGGATGCGACTTCTGAAAGCCCATTCTGGGCCTGGGCAACAAACAATTAGCTACTGGTTCTGCCGAAGTGGTGCTAACCTGCTGAATCCCACCACTAAAGTGACCCTCAGAGAATGTTGTGGATCCTTTTGGGGAGATTATTTGTAAAACGGGATGAGAACCTGGACAACTCTCCTCAAAAACAATTTGTCTATGAAAAAAGTACTTCAGAATAAAGATTTTTCTATAATACAAAGAATTTTGTGTTGTTTGTTTTTTTATTCTCAGGAATTACTGGGAATATTTTCGTTTGCTCTGTGTTATTCTAACTATCCATTCTACTCAATTTAGCATTCTACTCTCAATCCTTACATTTTTTGCTTCCGCATTCTAAAGATAGAACATTGAAAATATTCTTGTCCTACAATACATTATGCTCGTGGCCAGATATCTGTCTGCATGTGTATCTGAGTGGGTGTGTAAAGTATATGGCTGGGGGGGGGGAGAACATATGATCCACATTGTGAACTACCAGTATAGAGCATAGAACATAAAGCATATTGATAGATGTATGTTATATTATATAGATTGGATCAGGGGTGAGCATATAAGACCTGTGGACTTCAACTTCCAGAATTCCTGAGCCAGCATGGATTAGGTAAATGAAGGCTCAATTCTCAGATTCATCCTTTACATTCTTGTGTGGTTCTTGTAATGCCAATAACTTTACATGCGGGGCCGAAACATGCTTTGCAAAATGTATAGCAGAATTACCTGCCGTTTACTGGTACTGTATTTGCGATGGCTCTTTATAGAGTCAACTTGGAACAAGTTGTTTTATAATGTGGTAAAACAGATGCAAGTATAACATGCTTCTTTTGCATTCTTTATGTAATTTTTTTCAAAAAGAATATGATGGTCCTGTTGCTTGTGCTGCAATACTTTCCTCTGGTTCTTTTGTGCAGGCTTTGAAACTCCCACATGTGGATTACATAGAAGAGGACTCTTACGTGTTTGCTCAAAGCATTCCTTGGAATCTTGGCCGGATTGTCCCAGAACAGGACACGCTGAATGAGTATCATCCCCCCAGTAAGCTATCTCTTTCATCTTTTCCACATTTTTTTCAGAAGCAAGCAGGGACCCTCTGTCAAAAGCAAAGGACATTTATTTCAACAATAATTAAAAGAATGGGATACAAATTCAAATTCTTCCATGGAATATGGATCAAGTTGAGTTTATTCTTCATTTGGGATTACAGAACTACAGTAATTCTCTCATTTCTATGAGAGCGAATGGACAATAGGAGGTCCAAGAGAGGAGACAGGTGTTTCTGTTTAGAGGAAACTTCTGATGCTCTCCCAGTTCAAAATCATTGATCCATTTTAGTCTCTTCCAGGATATATATTTAAGAAACACTTAGAAAAAGTAAACAAAATCCTTATTTGGAGTGAGAGTATTTCAGCCTAAACAGAGTAGCACCTAAATGAGACTGGAGACCTTCCGACTCTTATTTTGGATATCTAAAAAGAGCTTCTGGAAGTTGGGCTGGGTTGGATTGGGAATATATAATGAGAAGAAATCAGGAAAACTGATCTGTTAACGATTGCTATAGTTTTTATTAGAATTGCATTTTCCTTCCCTGTTCCTAATATTCATGGTTGGAGATAAGCTCATTTTGATGTCAGTGGGGACTTTATACCAATTGCCAGTAGAAGTATGTTGGAGACATAGTCAAAATAATACAAGGTGTAGCCCAAGCCACAACTCCTCATTTCCAGCTATTTAAAAAAAACACTTCAGAATGACAAACTCTGTTGCAATTACTATGTCCATATATTAACTGCAGTCCACAGTTCACCTTCTAGTATCCAGATTTTAAGTCTGACTTTCTGACATAGAATCACAATATTTAACTCATTTCCTTCCATTGTTAAGGCACAAGAGAAATTAAATTAAAATTAATTAAATTAAAATTAAGACCAGCCTTGCATTGTTGTAATATTGGATTAATATTGAATAATTGGATTAATATTGACAAACAAATTAAAATAAAAAATGCATTTAACTGTTTTAATAAGTATCCCTTCGATATCACTGATTCTCCCTATAGATGCTGGTGAACTGGTTGAGGTTTATCTGTTAGATACTGGTGTACAGAGCACCCATCGGGAAATAGAAGGCAAAATATTTGTGACCGAGTTTGAGAATGTCCCTGAAGAAGACGGCACTCGCTTTCACCGCCAGGTAGATATTTTTCTTTCCGGTGGGAAGAAATTCCGGGAATGGTAATTTCGGTACACCTGTGTCAGGCCCAAAACTAAGAATAACACATGGCAATTCTTCCAGGCTGAGTTCTTTATTGTTTCACAGCTATAGACAAAATCTTGCCAGACTGAGGACTCTACTATCTGCATCTACAGTATAGTCTGTGAACTATTAGGGAAGGACTGTCTTCATCTTCTTTCTCTCACACATAACATCTGGACTGAGTTGCCTCTTACTTCTCTGGAATACCCTCTTCGTTCCTGGAGATCCCTCTCTTCACTATTTTTCGTCACATTCTGGAACATCTGGTTCATAACGTTTGGCTAAGTTCTACTTTTATAGTTATAGAGTTAAAACCCAATCAGCAATAAGAAACATAATTTGTAGCTCTTTGGAGCACTTCCTAGAAAGATGTTGGATCAAGTATCTATGATGGTGCCTCCCTGGATCCAGTGCATCTAATTATGTCTATGATGAGTTTTATTCCTTCATTAGAATATGCTGGTAAAAATGAATAATTTGGGAAATCGGGTGATTGGTAGAGTTGGTTATAGCTCTCTTTTCCCTGCCCAAGACTTTGAAACCTTCTGTTATTTGCCATCTATTTATCCATTGAGAATACAGAGGTGCTTGTTCCTCTTGGTGACTGACACATTGGGTGACAATGCCCGACTGATGAGTCTTTTTCATTACTACCTATAATTAAAGCTCTAGTTTACCTTTAATTTTTCTAGTTGCGCGTTGCCTTGAGCGCTATTTGATGTATACATCTTATTATTACTACCTGTGTTTGGGCTTGCAAGAAGTGAAAAACTTTGTTTTTCTGCTTCATGGAAGGCCAGTAAGTGTGACAGCCATGGGACCCACATGGCAGGTGTGGTGAATGGAAGGGATGCTGGAGTTGCGAAAGGTGCCAATGTCCGTAGTCTGCGGGTGCTCAACTGCCAAGGAAAAGGCACCATAAGCGGCACGCTGATTGGTGAGTAGTGGCAAGCGTGGGTTCAATTCATTTCTAAAATTAAATTCATCCTCTCATTTTTATATGGATTTGCAGATTGTCGTAGGTTGTTGTGAGCATGTCTCTCAATTTTATTTGCTGTATATTTCTGGAGAGAATGTTATATTATATGTTTCTATACTTTTTTAAAATATCTGTTTTGTCTGAATATTGGCTTAATATAAATGTTTTATATATTTTTTTCTGAGTTGCAAACAGTAGCATAAAATTCAAAAGACTCAGGTTTGATTCACGGTTAGGCTGACATTTCCTCATTCCACATCGTAGCTTTTAGTTCTGGCCTATACATATTGGAAGGGGGAGAACCCTACTGTTATCCAGAGGGGCCACTACTGCATTCTCTTAAGAGGTGGAATTACAGGCCAAGATATTATGTGAAAGACTTTGTATATTTATTGCAGAAATAATAAATAATTTGACAATATTTTAAAAAAAAAACCCCAAAAAGCAATGCAATTTACTTCTGTATTGTGTCCCTCCAAAAAATGCATTCATTTATTCATGTGGTCACTAGGGATCATGTTCAGTTAGAAAAGGTTAATGCCTTTAATACCTTTGTTGAATCAAGTAAGGTTTTAAAATAGTTGCAAGATTTGGAATTCAAAATTCTTCGTTGGGCATTGTGGTTAAAAGTCAGAGAAGGAAAAAGGGGGCAATACTTTTGGCTAATATTAGAATTATTAAATTCTGAACAGAATTGAGTCCAAAATTTCCAAAATTAAATTTATCTTTTCATAAAGGCATGCATATATCTGGTTAGGGTTTAAGATACAAAGAGTTTAATTTATTTTTTACCAATTTAAAAAGTGGAAAAATACATTATTTTTCAGATTTACATGGTTTCTTTGACAGCTGTCTGTTTTTCCTTTGCACCTCATTCCTTTCTCACAGGGAAAAACACTTCTTTAAAAATAGCCAGAATGTTCTTCCTGTTTGTGTCTTTAAAATTTGGAGTTTGTACTGGGTAAAAGAAATGCAATGGCGTTAATCCTTTGCCCTATAGGGTTGGAATTCATTGCAAAGACTCTGGCTGTCCAGCCCTATAGTCCCCTGGTTGTCTTGCTCCCCTTGGCCGGAACCTATAGCCGCATCCTGAATACCGCCTCTCGTCAGATGGTCCAGATGGGGGTGGTCATGATAGCTGCAGCAGGCAACTACAAAGACGATGCTTGTCTATACTCTCCAGCATCAGAACCAGAGGTAAGTAGACAATGATGTTTTCCTTTCAGCCCAAAACCCAGGGGAAAATGGTCCAGAAATGGGTTTGTAATCCTTCTAACACAGGGGTGAGCAACTTTACGACTGTGGACTTCAACTCCCAGAATTCCACTCTGGGAGTTGAAGTCCACAGGTCATAAAGATGTCATAGTTGCCCCCCGCTGCCCTAATAAGGCTCCGGTTCAGCTCATCAAGATCTGCCAGTTACCTCGCTGCCTTAAATGCAGTGTTTTTCAGTTGTCACAATGAAGCCCCAACTCATTTAACGTATGGGAAGTTGAGGAAGATTGTGAAGCTTCACCTGTGCCATCCTCTCAGCTGTTTAGATGGTGTGGATCAGGTCTCCTGTCTGTTTGTGGAGTGCTAGGAGGTTAGCAAGATACTGGCTTATCCAGGGTCTGTCACATAGCCTTTTTTCTAGTTGTCTAAATACCCTGATGGTGTGATTCCGTGGTGGGTTTGCTGGTGATGCGTGCAATCATGTTATATAGACACACAATAAAGAATAGAGCAAGCCTATTTGATCCCACAGTCTCTTTTAATATGGTATGATAGAGTTTTATTAACTGTTCCTTGGTCAATAACATATTTTTCCTCCTATATGTAAACAAACATAGGCCATTGTGTAATACAAATATTTGTATTGTGTGAAGCTGCCCAAGTTTAATATCAGGACAATGAAGAATCAGTCTGATACTCAATATAATTAAAAACATCCATCTCTTCTTATAATGGCAGACAGCAAGATCAGGCTTAGATAATGTTCACGTGGGAATTTGACTAGGAACATGAGGTTTTTTTTTAGGGGAGGGTTTTAATTTCATGATGTCAACATACTTTTCCTCTGAATGATTGCATGCTTAATATTTGACAACAGAATTTCAGCCAGGAGCCTTTTCCAAATACATGTGGAATTTCTGGAAAGCAGCTCCTGATACCATAGTAGTGAGATAAGTGGGATAGATAGACTTAATCTAAGCCAATTTATTTGATTCTTTTTTTATTTTATAGTCCTCTCATGAGTCATCTAAAGAGAAATGCTTACAGTCAAATTATCTAGGAGATATTTTAGAAGAACTAGATTTTGAGACGAGAAAAACATAAAATAATAATTGCACAATATTTTTGGTATTTCTGGGTGACATTTTCCTGTGTCACCTAACACCTCTGATCAGTTCAGTCCAGAAAATCATTTATCTATGAAAATTTGGAGGGAACGTCTCTCTCAATGGAGAAACGGACTAAGGAATCATTTGCAAAGGATTTTAATATTTTTAATTTATTACATTGAATAGAGTTAGGCTAAATGGCCAACAAATATAGAGCAAGAATAATACCTGGTGAAACTATGCTGGGGCTGGAGGAAGAGGATAAGGAAGCAATTTTTGTGAACCCTCCTTCCTTCAACAGTGCTTGAACAAATGCTCTAAAAGGCTTTGGGAAGCTACTGGAGCAGTATGAAGAATGACAAAAGGAAGAGAGCTGGTGAAGAACATCTTCTTGTTGCTTTCCTCAAAAGCGTATCTCCCCGCTGGATCCAGACACAGAAAGAGAGAAACCTCTTTATACATAGATCCAACTCTGATTCTGAAATCCTGTTTCTCCTACTTGCTCAGGACTGACAAGATACTGTCTCATTGTAGGTGATTACAGTTGGAGCAACCAATGCCCAAGACCAGCCTGCCTCCATGGGGACTTTGGGAACCAACTTTGGACGCTGCGTAGATATCTTTGCTCCTGGAGATGATATCATTGGTGCCTCTAGTGACTGCAGCACCTGCTTCACAGCTCAGAGTGGGACATCGCAAGCAGCTGCCCATGTCGCAGGTCATATTGTGTGACAGAAATATGAAGAGTCCAGCAAGTTGTGTAGCTCTTGTTTATTGCAATGAGGTTCTCTGAAGATGAACTATCAATAACATGTGCCTTGTTATAGGAGTTTGAGGCGAGAAAGATAAGATTTTCCAAAGGTGGAAAAAGTCTCCCTCCCCAGTTTCATTCAAAATAATACTCAAGGATTTGCAAAATTCAAACCTATAGAACAATGCATGATGGTAATGCATTGTTGTCAGTGGGGGAGAAAAAACGGGCAGAGTTTGTTGTTTTGCATTTGATGTTAGGGAAGGTAAAAACTGAAGTATTAAGCCTTCAGGACACCCTTTTTTTTTAGTAGTTAAAATGAGCAAAGGATGACACAATGGTTTATATCAGCTTGGTTAGCTCCAGGGGCTACAAAAACAGAGCCACTAGTATTAGCGCTTAGCACTAGCACTTAGACTTATATACCGCTTCACAGGGCTTTACGGCCCTCTCTTAGCAGTTTACAATGTCAGCATATTGCCCTCAACAATATGGATCCTCATTTTACCGACTTTAGAAGGATGGAAGGCTGAGTCAACCTTGAGTCAGTCAGAATCGAACGGCCGAATTGCTGTCAGCCGACAGTCAGCAGAAGTAGCCTGCAGTACTGCATTCTAACCACTGGGTACCAGGGCTCTGGTGTTCCTACCTTTGCAATACCCACCAGTGGTACAAATTAAACTGGTACATTTTCATTGCATCTATGTTTTAATGGCATCAATGGATTGCTTAAAGAATTGGTAGACCTTTGACTGCATTTCCCCTTGTCTTGTTCTAGAAGGAGCAGCTAAATAATTTTATCTGTATTATCAAGATAAGCAAGCTTAGTCCTTTTTAGATTCTATTGGCTTCCAGAAAAAATATTTAAACTCCTGATGAAGCTGACTTATGAGAAACAGAATTGATGTTTAGGATTAAGAGTAATTTTTAATTGAGTATGGAACAGGGACTTTTTGTTGATGGATAGGCCTCTTTCTCTCTCTCTATAAATCTAATATCATATTCACTTTTCCAATCACATTCAGAAACAGGAAATAAAATTATTTGACTGAAAGTTCCCCAGTGTTTTAAATCAAACTGGCCTGATAAAACATTTATTTTTCCATTAATTTGTTATGAGCTTTAATCACAAAGCAGAAATGCAGGTATGAGATGGGACAAAACCATGAATTCAAGGACATTCACATATGTAATATTTTAAGCCATTAAGACTGGTGTTACTCTGAAATGAAGAGCCGAGGTGGCGCAGCAGTTAGGGTGCAGTACTGCAGGCCACTTTAGCTGACTGTGTTCAGCAGGTCAGAGGTTCAAATCTCACCGGCTCAAGGTTGACTCAGCCTTCCATCCTTCCGAGGTAGGTAAAATGAGGACCCAGATTGTTGGGGGCAATGTAAATAAATAAATATATATACACACACACACACACACACACACACACACACACACACATACATTGCTTACTGGTATACATTGCTTACTGGTGTACACCGCTTAGAGAGTGCTTGCACTTAAAGCGGTATATAAGTCTCATAAATAAATAAATAAATAAATAAATGTTAACTGGAGCATTAATTCAGATTAGAAATTGAAGAGCATAGTTGGTTCATGTTTATATTATTCATATGCACAGACATAGAAATCCTCCCTGATTCAGGCAGGAGGATCCGAGCATAATTTTTTTTGAAGGGAAAATGTGAGAGAAAGTCGGCATTTGTATTAAGTTGCCTCAGATTTTGCCAAGCAAATAATCAGTTTCAGTTGGGCTTCCTTTAAAAAACCATACAAGCACAAAGTGTTATTTTGCGGTAATTATACAAATATAAACTGTAGAAATACATAACCTAATCCCTCTTCATGTGTGTTTTTTGGAGGGATAAAAACAGGGCTTGCTTGTTGTCCTAGGTATTGCAGCCATGATCTTGAATGCCAACCCCGCCCTGTCCATCTCCGAGCTGAGGCAAAAACTGATCCACTTTTCTGTCAAAAACCTTATGAATGAGGCTTGGTTTCCAGAAGACCAGAGGCTGTTAACGCCAAACAGAGTGGCTGGGCTTCCCTCCAAAATTGTAGCAGGTGAGTCCTGTTGATGTCTTCTTCATTGGTACAGGCCTGAACTATCTCAGATCCTGTGTCTTCATCCCAGTCTTGACTCCCAGAAACTGCCTGAATATTAGCAATATTTTTGGTAGTGGTTTGCATTGCTTCCTTGCAGGGGCTGAGGAAAAGTGATTGACCCAAAATTACCCAGATGTCTCATGTCGAAACCAGGGCTAGAAACTCACAGTCTTCTGGTTCTAGCTTGATGTTTTTACTCACTACACCAAACCAGCTATTTGAACTTAGCTGCTACCTATTCAACTTGATTATAATTGAATATAAACTTTAAACCTGGAGTATTTTTTTTACTGCCTTGATTGAGCAAACTCCTTAAGAAGCTGAGGATTATACCATGACTTTGAATTGGCTAATAAACTATTGCCCCAATTAATTGCTCCACTGAATTTTTTTTATAGCCAAATAAAGCTTATGTCAGGATCTCTATCGTCGGCCTGGCGCCTTGCTGGCGTCCTGCCATCAAAGGGGAAGGGAGTGCAGAGGCATTTGGGGCAATCCACACCTGTGTATCTAATGGTGGGAAATGGGAAGGGGGAACTGATATGTGAAGAAGACCAGGGCTGTTTGTACTGGTTACACCAGGCATCTTCAAGGCTGCTTGCCCTGAATATGAAATTCCAACAGCGTAAACAACCCAGAGTTTCCCACAACATTGGGTGGAGGGATGAGGAACGTTAAGTTTGGCTCTTTGTATCAGTGAGCGGGAACTTCAATTTCCTCCTCATCTTCCTGTAACCAACATCTTTAGTAAAAATTCCATCACTAGAAGTCGCTAAAAATAAGCTGTCAGACCTTCCCCAAAACAATCATTTAGGAAAGCAGACTCTAGACTCCAGTTGATTGAAGTGAAAAGAATTTTTACTAAAGATGTTGGTTGCAGGAATAATTCTTATTCCACTAATCATGTATAATAGCATATTCTTCATGATTTGAAGTCTGCCCAAGAACTTGGACATGGTAAGGGTAATGTCTGTGTATGAGGAGGAACCCAACAATACTATTGGTTGTGATCGGTCTGTTGTAAGTTGTTCCAAATTTAGACAGTAAAGGGGTGTGCACTATGTTCAAAGAGTTGATCAGTCTGAATTTTAAGTATCATAATTTTTTTGCCCTGTGATGTTATCTGCAATTTTATGTTTCCAGAAATTCTGAATTGATGGTGAATTTGTACTCTTGACCAAAATGCCAGTGATATCTTCCCAATTCAACTATGCCTTTTTTGTAATCGTCTTCCTTGGCACAACTAGCATTTACTATCTAAACTGATCTTTTCTACTTTTATTTTGATAACATTTGTACTTAATGCTTGTTCTTGAGCAATAAAAAGCGTTCTTTTTACAATGCTTCCTTTTTAAAATACTTCATCCTTAAGCCACTGTCATGTTTTACTGTTGTCTAATTTTCTTTCAATATCTTTCAAGGAAGATATTACTTTGTTTTTCCAATTTTCTAACCTCATTTCAAACTGTTGCTTTTTATAGTCACTGAGATTCCATTTCCTCAAATAGCCTTTATTTCTGAGATTAATTCAATAAAGCTTTGTTATTGTCTTGATGTAATCATTAAGCTTTATTTTTGTTCTTTATTTTACCTTTAATCGGTGCTAGCCCACCAGTTTTTCTTGGGAAAAAAATCTGTCAATAACAATATGAGGATATAGGGCATTATTTATAAGCATTAATTTTCTGATTTGCTGATCAAGATTAACATGGTTCAGTATTCCTGTAATAGATCTGATTATTGATATTGCTTATGAATTGTCTGATTCAACGATTTTGGTGAGATTTTAGGATTTTCTTTACCCATCTGCATTAATTTGAACTTATAGTATTTATATTTATTTATTTGTTGTACAAACTATCTGATGTTTCCAAATTTCCCAGATATTTATAAGCTCACTTAAGTGCTAGCCCTTTGATGCTTGTGTAACTTAAAAGTTGAGTATCTTGTGAGTTAATTAATTTAATTTCTTTACTGCAAATGTGATCACACATTTATCAAGTCCAAATTGTGTTGCACTATATGTATTTGGCCCCATTCTCTCTCATTAGAAAATCTATTGACATCTCTTTCACTAGTTTTTTAAACTATTAACCTTTTTGTATCTATTTTACTGTTAATCAACATTTGTAACTTAAATGTAAGCATATTTGCTAGATAGGCAGAAATCTAATCTAATCTAATCTAATCTAATCTAATCCCTCCAAATAGCCAATTTTGTTTTATTCATGAACTTCACTCAGTCTTTGCAATTTTTAATTCTTGTTTTATGGCAAGAATGACCAATCTTTTCAATTTTTGCCATCAGTCCCTTCTCGGAGATCATCGGGGATATGTCTGTGGTATAGTAATGTCACCAGATGTCATCAGGTACGCCAGTCTATGAAACAGACACCATGCAGTTCTAAGCTACTTCTAGCAGAACAGCTTTAGCAGCAGAATCTTGCAAATCTGAATATGCCATCTTCCCTCCCTCTTCTATCTTCATGAGGCGGGAAACTCTCAGGTGGTTTTCAAATTATTTCCTTGGCTTGGACTCAAGCTTCATTTATCTAATTGTTAGCTTGTTTGTGGATGTTCCATATGTTCTTCAAAGCCATTCTCTCTACCTACTCTAGAAGGTGAAACGTTCTTTGGTGTTTGAAAAATGTTTTTTTGGGGGGAGGCTTAGCACGCTAATTCCTGCCTTTATTTCAGGGTTTTCAAAGTTAAAATAATTCAAGCACAAAGAAGGTATTTTTCAAACTTCAGCACCTCTGGTTTGAGGTTTATTCAGTCAATTATGTGTGTTAGCGCAATGTATTTTTCAAAGGTAGGATCTTTCCAAATGGTTGAACTACAGAAATCATAAAGCCTGGAGATAGTCCTAAACAAATGGGATTCTGCTAGTCCTTAACAGTGACCATTAGTGACTCTCTTTCAGAGGAACAACTGTACTGTCGCTCTGTGTGGTCTTCCTTGTCTGACTCAACTAGTGCAGCAACAGCTGTTGCCCAATGCAACAGCTACGAAGACATGTTCAGCTGCTCAAGTTTATCAAAGGATGGCAAATGGCGAGGGGAGCACATTGAGGTAATGTTTAAAGGCAAGATGGTATAGTTTGCTATTTAATTTTAATTAATTTTATACACAGATCTGCATCTCAGCCAGATATGAAAATCAGATTTGATGCCATTCTCAGTGTCTTATTCTCATTTCTTTTTCTTTTCCTTAAATACTAGGATAATGGAGGCAAGAAGGAGTGTGTGGCTCTCAACAGATTTCGAGGCCAAGGTGTCTATGCCATAGCTAGGTGTTGCATTTGGCCCAAGGCTGACTGCCAGGTTAATAGCCATTCACAGACCACAGAGGGCACGGCCATGAAAAGTGTTACCTGCATCAAAGATAGCCATGTTTTGACAGGTATGCTATGACAGCTCTGATGATAGTAACTAAAAAAGTAAAATTTATGATGTGGAGATATGTTTATGTACAAGTTGTATTATAGCAAATGGGATCTGCACTAAAATAGGTCTTGTATGCATAAAATATTAAGAGCATATCAGATTGTGTGGCTAATGGTATGCTATTGGCAGAGACCAGCTTTAGTAGCACAAAAGAAGAAAAAAGTTACAGTTCCTGCTTCCCACCATCTTCTAGCATTTCCCACCATAAATGTCCACCTAAAACTTCTTAATGATAAAGCTGATCCGGGTTCCACTTTCATCTGGCTCCCCATTTGTCTTGTGCTAAATGCCTGCCATTTCCCATCTGGTCCACTGTGAAAATGTTAAAGTATTTTTTGAACACTTTGCAAAATTTGAAAACCGAAGTTGGTAGTTCCATTTTCCCTTTCCTAAGGATTTTTTGTTTTTTTTGTTTTGCATGTGAGAATACAAAGACTGAGGGATGTACCGCCATTTGTTTTCTAATCTTATAGTAATGTACACAAAACAGAATCCTTAGTTAACAGTGATAGCCATGTATATACTTCAGTGAATTTTTTTACAAAATGCCCTAATATGATCTACACTGGCAGGCTGCAGCACTCATTCTCTGGATGGAGATCTCAGTGGCGGCATCAATGCTGTACACCAGGCGGACAGTAGGTGGGCCCACTGTGTAAGCCAAGGAGAAGCAACCGTGCACGCTTTCTGCTGCCATGCACCCAGCCTTGAGTGCAAAGTTCAGGGACATCCTCCCCTGGAGTACCCAACAAAGGTATGTGCATATCATTCTTGATGGCATCTCCCGGTCTAGTCTGATAACTTGCTTCCTAAGTAGTGCAAGCTCTAATGAAGATGAAAACGATTCTGTGCATTCCTTTGCACGGCCACTGAGTAGCCAGGGAAAGGCTGTTAAGAGATTGTCTGTTCACACAATACAGTTTGCCTATTTATTGACTTGCTCTTTTCTTGTTTTGCACAAGAAAACCTGTGTCCTGTTGGGTCATAATTTCAGATATATTTCCTTCCCAGATTTCTCAGTGCCTTCAACAATGAGATCTAATGTACTTTGAAAAATTCTTAAAAAATCAGGGAGATATTCAAAGACGTATCTGCTTGAAAGGAGCATAAACATCCGTTGACCACAGGAAATGTTTTATGACATTTTGTACTGGGTCATAAAATGCTTTATAAAATTTGCCAAATTTCAATTCCATGGGAGTCACGGGTCCTGAATTTTGGATACATTCTGTAAGTTAGCCCATTTGAGGTACTTTGAAAATGTTTTGCCCGGTGATTGCCCAGTTAAAGATTACAGACACGAGAATTTTAGCAGTATGTTGATTAAAAATAACCTCTATTCCTTTTTCTCAGGTGATGGAGACCTGTGATGATGGCTGGACTCTAACCGGATGTAATGCCCAGTCACCTAGCTCCAACAGTCTTGGGGCATATTCAGTGGACAACACCTGCGTTGTACTCAGCCGTCCAGGAAGCAAAGGAGCAACCGCAGTTGCCATTTGCTGCAGAAAGAGGCTCTTAGAAGAGGAGAAGCAAAGTTCCAGTAACAACTGACAATTCTACCTTTTCCTCCCTTCAACTATCCAAAAGACCCACACATTTTGACAATTGCCATATAGGGTCACACTGGTAAACACAGTAGTCCCTAGAGCAGAACTCCAATACAGCTTGGGATTGCTTGGGATAACCTTAGCTTAGCACAACTATTTCAGACGCTGCAGTTGTGCAAAACATCATCCCTCTAGCAACGTTCCCATAGTTAACATCAAGAAATGGGTGTCTTTGTTGTCTCGATAATATCAATTAAGCTGCATTTGTAAAATATCTTTGATCAATTAGCTGCATACATAATTTTTCACCAACTTTTTATTTGCAATCAGTGACTTCCAGGCTTTTTAGAATATCTATTTTGTTAACCATCCACTAGTTCAATGCATTATGCTTATAGCATAGAAGGCTAGGGGTGGGGGTGGGGCAGAGCAGGCAGAAGGATGAAGAAGGTAACAGTTTCTGTGTAATTCTTTAACTTGGTCACAACCTTTCATTGGTTGAACTATAACTAGAAACCTCTGTGTACATATTAGTGATGCTTAAAACTGGAGAAAGTGAAAGTATTAATACTTTAAATCTGCCCAGGATAGCAGATTAATTGCAGAGCATACTATTATCATTATATCCTCCTGTTTTTTGAGTATTTTTATATAGTAAGTTGTATGGTAATATTTTGCAGCAAGCATAGACAAACCATGGGCTGCATTTAACCCTTCCTTCTAGAGGCCCTGTGCAATTAACAGTATCCTTTGTAGTTAAACATAAACATACAATTTAACTGTTTAATACTTTTAAAAGAAAAAGGCATACCTGGGAGATATTGTGGGTTCGGTTCCAGATCAGCAAATATTACAATAAAGTGAGTCACACTATTTTTTGGTGTGTGTGTGTGGGGTATTTCCTGAGTGCTTGTAAGTTATGTTTGCACTCTACTGTAATTTATCAAATGTGTAAAATAGCACTATGTCTAAAAAACAATGTACATACCTTAATTAAGGTCCTTTATTATTAATGAGCAAATGCTGTTGGAAAAATGGTGGTAACAGATCTGTTCAATGCAGGGTTGCCATAAGCTTTCAATTTGTTAAAAAAAAATGCAGTATGTGCAAAGTTGAATAAAGCAAAGCGCAATAAAATAAGATATACCAGTATTCAAATACAAGTTGATAAGAGTTGGAAAATGTTTCTCCTGCTTCTGCTCACTTCTTGCTATTCTATGGTAGTTGCAACTCTCAACCTGAAACAGTGTTGGCCGTTTAGGATCTAGTTTATACTATTTTCTGTCATCATTCTCCAGTGCCATAATACAAAACTGCTTAACAATGTGTTGTAGCAAGTCTGAAATAGGATTATATCATATTGCACAGGTGTCAAACTCACTGCGTCACGTGACGTGTCACGACGTATCGCAACTTTTTTTGCATTGCTGGAGCTGGGATGGGCGCAGCCTCTGCATGATGCAACCGGCCTGCAGGCCGGCAGTTTAACACTCCTGTCCTATTGTATCCTTATACCAACTTTTAAGAAGCAGAAGTTTCTCCTCTTTTATTTCACTTTGTTAGTTTCTGTAACCATGAATGGAAGAAGCTCTGCAAAAATCAGAGCAATCAGTTTTCTCTAAGGAGGCTGGATCAGTGTGGATAACTACTAGCCCCCTACATATCACTGAAGCATAACTCTGAGCTCCATCTTCTTACGATAAGGATTTTTATTCTGAAAAATACTGGGAACTGTAGCTGAAAAAAGGTTATCACTGGGCTCCACTGGACCAATGAAGAATAGTTTTATACAAGCAAACCTGAAGCTTTTAAAACACTGAAGACTTAGGGACTTCTGCATGAGTGGCCTTAAGGCAACTATGAAACCAAGTAAACGCTGGGTAACCAAACAGTATAGTTTCCTAATAAAGTGTTTGGTAGCAACCATTTAAGTTGGTTTTTCAAAGCAAGCTATTAATTTCATGTAAAACTCTTTCCCACTTACCAAATGTTTAACTGCCTATATAACTGAATCTTTAATCGTGTATGCTCAATTACTGGGTAAAAATATTTTTAACTAAGGGACCATATACATGTTTTCTTAAATATTAAGTTTAGTTCAAAGTAAATATGTATTGGATTGCAGCCTAAGTTGCATTTCTGTTTTAGAAAGGGCAAAAAGAATACCGAATCATGAATAAACTGCATGTGATTCTTGGTATGTTATTTTGAAGTTCATACTCAAATTTATTATCTACTGTAATTGCTTGAGATTTCTTTGTACTGTAGATTTTACATTTTTATCTGAATCTATTTATTCTGTTTTATATAACATTTTATAAAGCAATTTCTTTTTGAAATAAAAGTTTCATACAATTTTAATGTGGCTGCATTTATGAAACTGTACTTAAAACCCTCCTCTGCATTTTTCTACAATTATATTTAAGGAAAGGGGAACAGGAAAAAAATCTAATTTTTATCACATCTTGTTTTTTTCATTAGAGATTCAAGCTCATAAGCGCTATCATTGTAAAAGGTGTGGCAGAACAAAATACTTTAGGAGGTATATAAGTTACCAGATCATATAGAAGATAGGTATGAAAAATATCCTTAATACTCTCAAACCTCTTTTGTATAAAATACTGATATTGTTCTGGTGGCGCAGTGGTTAGAATGCAGGATTGCAAGCTAACTTTGCCCACAGCCAGGAGTCTGATCCTGATGGGCTCAAGGTTGATTTAGCCTTCCATCCTTCCGAAGTTGGTAAAATGAGGATCTGGATTATTGGGGGCAATATGCTGACTTTCACTATGGGAAGGGAATATAAGTCTTAAGTGCTATTGCTATTGCCCTATTATATTTCATATTTCCTCTAGATAGGAGAAGACAGAACATTAATGTAATCTTCCTACTAGGATTCCAAACTATTTTGCATCTGGTTTGGAAGGAAAAAAAAAAAAGCCTCAGAGCAGGGCAGCCTTATGCTAATGAGTCATGCATACAGGACAAAGTAAGATTCAGAAAATAACTTTCTCATAATTCTATTTTTGAGTGGTGATTTTGGATTCTCAAATTCTCCAACATCCAATTCTAATTGAACAGGAGCTAGATAAATGAACCAGCCAAACAGCAGCTGTTTCCCCCCCCCCCTTTAATGATCATGTAATTCCTTCCCTCAGGGTGGAGCTGAGTGTTTACTGGCCAGATGTCCTTCCTGACACCTGGGTAGAGTTTGCAGGAGATATTTTCTCTTTGTGCCCAGAGAGAGAAAAATTGGCTGTTACCTAGGATCAAACTCACAGCCTCCCGATTGTGAGGTGAGAGCTCCACCTCTAGGCCACCACACCTCTCTTGTTTTTTAAGTTTAATAATCAGCCATCTTTTTCTTTTTTTGGTGAGAGGGATAAGCTTTATTCCATTGACCGGGGTTTTTTTTTTCCTCAGGGAAACGGCTTCTCCCTTCCATTTTTCACTCCCTTGGGAACTAGTTAAACACAACTGTACACAATGAGAAGACACAACAGAATTGTAATTGCCCCAGTGCTAGAGAACATTATGTATAAAATGCATTTTTCATCCAAAAGTACTGGCAGTAAAAGAGACTGCAACATAAAATGTGTGACAATTTGCATGGCAAATGTTTCTTTTAAAAAAAAGTCTTCAGCCAATTGAAGTGATAACAGCTGGAAGCCAAATAATTGACCAAATATTGTATTTGAAACCATAGCCATTAACTCTCTACAAGTTGGGAGTGAAGCAGAAAACAGTTTGCAATGGTTTTAGAAAGTATAGCGGTGGAACAGATCATCTTGTGATTCTGAAAAAATGCCCTGCTTCAATTTGGGATGAGACCCCCTTTTCCATAGGAAACAATGCAAATTTAAATGATTTTGGACCAATGCCTTTCTCTTCAGGTCAGCTCTATAACTTACTTTCATTTAAATTAAATGGAAGATAGGGTAACACAGTCAGGATGGGATAGGAACAACATTTATTCTAAATTTTAAAACATTGTATTAAAATGTTTGAAGGCTTAATAAAATATCTGAGTTCTGCTAACTTCATTGAAAGTGTTATCTTCAGAGAAGACATTCAACTGAAGCGTCATTGTTAAGAGTATTTCTCTGACTCACCCGTATGGCAGAGAATTTCAACTGGAAGATGTGCAGCTATTTCCAGCAACAGTGAAATGACCTGTTATATTCACAACTAGTGCACAACAGTGAAGTAATTTGTGTGCCAGTTCAGTTTTTGTAACAGTAATAAAAAAAAAAAAGAGGCACTTTTTGGCTGCTTGTGCCTTTGACTTGGCAAATTGTCCAGGCACTCTGAGCATCTCTCCCCAGTTCATGTGCATGGTATATTGTATAAATTAAGGCAAAATCCTTGAACACAACAAAAAGGAAAAGCAAATGAAGAAAAATGTGGGGAAAAAAAAAAGAAACTGGGATTCAAAATTGGTGTGGAAAAAAGTGTTGAGAGTAATTTAAGAGATTTCACGGGGTAAACAAAAACATACTCATATTAAGTTCAATTTGTTTCCAGTTATGAAAGAATTACACTTGTATTTCAAGTGCTGCCTAGCTAAGCAAAACAGCTTGCAATCCTTTGCCTGTGTTAAATTTTTTTAAGAATTGAAACGTCCCTACTTTACTCCAGTAATCATATAAAGCCAATTTCTACTTTTTCAATTTAAAAGTATAAGCAAATGATTGCAGATCACATAATTAACACAACGGTTTATTCAATATGTCTCCAAGTAGTAGAAGGATGATTTAAGGAGGCAAACAGCAATAAAATTCTGTCTTAAAGTGCTTTTTTTTTTTGTTAAACTTACTCATCATTTTCTAAAAAGTCCTACTGATGCCATAAATGTATTCTTGGAATAAACAAAGCTCTTTTATTGCTCTTACCCTTTAAGCACACAGCATCAGGAAAAAAGGTTACCAATTCCAGACTAACTTGTACCAAAACCATTCCATAAGGAATAATCATCCTTACATAAAAGGGCTCTCTTAAAAACAACCCTTTATGTAAAGCACTATACAAATTACCTAGAGACATATTAAATACAAAAGTCCTTGTGTAAATTTATTCTTAACTAATATTTTACAATGCCAAGTGTAAATCACACATTTTTTTACATAATTTTGAATATTCCTATTCAATATTTTCAAACAAATAAACAAACAAAAAAAGATTAAAAATTTGCCATTCATACGTAAAGGCAATCTGATTTTTCTTCCGTATAAAACCCAAGTCTTTTTTTTTCATTTTTCTTTTGTTTTGCAGCATCACAGAAAAGCAAAAGTTTTACATTCACTCATTAAATGTTCACATAAAAGTTTCAATAACTTGATAACTGTTCTTAAATGGGTGGAATCTTGACAGGGTTTTGTTTTGTTTTACTCATGCCTAAACTAGCATCTTTATAAGAATCAGAGCAGATGCCGGGAGACTTTCATAGCCTAATGCTGGAACTTCTCCACTGAAGAATACTTTTAACTCATTACAAAGTACCTACTGATCTTTTGAAAGCATTTACTTTCTTTTCCTCTAAAAGTGAAAACAAAAGGATTCCAGCCATATCACAAAGGCGCTGGGTATTCTCCACTTCAGAGCGGCTTTTCTCCTTCAGTTTGCAGCCATCAATTAAGTATCCACATCTTCAAGGTCACTTTTAGGTTCGCCAATCATCATGGGAGATACCGAGCCCTTTTAAAAATACAAAAGAATTAGAAAGTTTATGCTTTTATTTAAACTGAACAACTAGTTATTGCTGGAAGGTATTATAAGGGATTTTTCAGTAGCAGCCTTATGCATCATTTAGCAACTGCCTTTTGGAAACCAGAAAGTAATTTTTCACGAAAGGAGCAGAATGGACTGAATGTGAAATATAGATAGTCCTCGGTTAATAACTGCCCTGTTTAGCAATTGTTCAAACTTATGATAGTACAATGGTTGTGGCGTCCCGGTGGTCATGGGATAGCAATAGCAACTGGTGTGCATTTACAATGGACAGTGTTCTGCAGTAACATGATCACCATTTGCAACTTTCACAGCCACCTTCAGACAGGCAAAGTTAATGGAGCAACTGGCAGAAAGTCTTAAGCTGCCGTCATGTGATCAGCAACCATGGGTGATTTGTGCATAATGACCAAAGTGGAATTGATGTCGTAAATCAGGTGGGATCATATGAACGATCTTGACAGATAGCAACAGGATTGCTGGTTCCAATTGCAGTTGTTAAATGAGGACTACCTGTGTTAGGCTAGCATGACACACCATGATTAGGAGCACTAAAAGGGAAGTATGTATGGGATTTGCTATATTAAAAAGCAATATCCCTGAACATATGGCCCTTAAATCAATTTATGGAAGGCAAAATCTGTCAATGGCTCCATGTCACGATGACCTTAGAACATACCTAGAATCAGAGATAACTCTCTTAATACCAGTTGGGGGTGAAAATGAGCAGGAGATTGCAAAGATATACAAGTCTTCTTGTTAGCCATTCTGGGTAGAGAATCCATGTTGTCATATGTAGTTTAATGAACTAACGAGATTGCTACTGATAGAGCTTTTATTTGAATATTTTAAAATTTGAAATGTTAATTTCATCTAAGGAAATACTTCCAAAACTGACTACATCAAAGGTTAGTTTAGAAATAAATACAATATAAATTAGATCAGCACTACCATGAACTATCAGGACAGATGGAATATAAATACAGTGCAATGTTGATAATATAATCTTGCTACGACTATATTGTGACATTTTACCTGCTACGTAATGTTTGAATATTGCCCATGTTCGCCATTTCCTTTAGCGCTGGCCTGCCACTGAAGGCAATAGGGCCTTAAAAACAAAGCACATCACGTAAGCTATTATTAGGACTATGTGACGCTTCAGATGGATGAATTAATTCAAAGAGTTTGATTTCAATTATTCCTTCAAACAGAATCTTTGCATTAATTGAAGGTATTACACTGAATCAAAATCCTTGGAATGGCTTCAGAGAAATTTGAGAATCACTAAACGTTCTGATTGACACCCTGTATTCTATTAGTATCTATTTAGTTCATTTGGAGGGAAGGAAACTGACATTTGTTTTGCTTCTTCTTTTGGTTCTTGCATAGTCCTCTTTTGTTTTCCTAAATTCGTGGGGTTTTATCCTATTATTCCAGCTTGTGTCTGATGGACTTATAGTTCTTCAGTCTTTCAATCTTTCCATTTCTCCCTCCACTTCTACTGATCATTGTTTTTGTTTCTGGCCAGAGACCGTCCCTGTCTTGTGTTGGTTGAGGTGGCTAAGTCTTTTTTTATGAAGTGGATAAGTAGATCTATGCTTAGTATTATGACTGTTGTATATATGTAAACCCTTTCTTTGTATTATAGTATATTATAGATGCAATAGTGATAATATACACACTTCTCAGTCACAGCACATAATACATAATCCCTACAAGAGGCTAATTTTTAAAACTTGGGAGTAAGGTGTTTCCCATGTCTATAGGTTCTTTGCTAGACGGTTTACAGGCTGTTTGATTTTTGTCAAGCATATACCTCACGGACTAAACAAAACCATCCCACGCACCTGTTGCAGATGTCTGCCTCCATTCTCATTGGCCGGACTGGTCTCAGATCCATTACTGCTTCCTGATTGATCTTTTTCATTCAGCAAGGCTGTGGCATATGCCAGTGTGTCCTGAAGGAAGAGTGTGAGAACTAAAAGCTAAGCTAATGTGTTTAGATGCAATTGGAAGTCACTGGGAAAAAAGATATGTAGTAGTTGGAAATGAATTCAAGCTATATACTGATCTTTCCTTTCAACCCAAAAATTAATAAAAAATATTTCATTTATAATATTCCCACATGGTAGCCTTAATATCTATGTATCACTGTACATATTCAGACAATGGTTTAGAGTACATGCTTCAAAAAGAAGAGCAATCTTCTGAGTAACCCCCCCCCATCTCAAGAGACAGACAAAAATTGGATGCTTTAATGATTCCCATTAAAATGTAGCTGCTTTAAAATACTCTAAGCTTTAAAAGTACTTTAAAGGACTAAAGTACTTATCTCCCCATCTTCTGAAACAGCTCCTCCAAATTATTTTCTAAGCATGCATAGCCCCCAAAATACCATATAATTACTATGCTTAATTCTATAAAGAACAAAAAAGCTTAGCAAAATCCTTTTGGTTCATCTGGGTGTTTAAAAAAAATAACTGCTATTCTTAATGTAACAGGAACAAAAATGCAATAAATTTACAACCAGTTTCACTGACCTGTGCAGAAATAGTCCGCTGAAAGGTTTTGGCAGTTGAGGTTTCATTGGATATATTACTTTGTGGAGCCCAATAATGTTCAGACATCTAGAAAAATGTGAAAGTACTAATTAATGAAAATCAAACAGCAAATTGTTACTGGATTGGATTTCAAAAGGAAATCAGTTCCAAAAAGAAAAAAATTCCTGCTCCCTCTTCCTCACTATTGACCCACTGAAGAAACTTCTGAACACCAGGAAGAGGATTTATTGAGACTAAATAACACTGAATTACATTGTACCTGTATATATTTGTTTTTTTAACAATAAGTATTACCTTTATTTGAAGCCACTGAACAGCCCAACTCCAATGATGAGAATTCTCCTTAAAATAATCTTTAGCAGCAGGGCATCTTTAAGAGAGAAGAGAAATTATGAAAATTATGTATCTGAGATATTAAAGGATTATGTTCCCTCTTCTTTTTAAATTATTCCAATTTACAAGAGGTTCCCTTTCTGGTCATATAGAAATAATTCTTGGTATTTACTATGTGAATTCTGACTTTGCTGCCAAATCAAAGCAAGGAGGATAAAATATTTTGAAAGGATATTAGCAATAGTTGTAGCTTCACATTAACACATGGCTATTTACAAGCCTATGTTTTACTAAAAGTGTCCTCTCTGTGGGCCTTTTTCTGTTGAGATTTACAGAGTGTTTCTTCATGCTGGTTTTTTTTCCCATCCCAAGGCTTTCCTATGAGAATATTTCCCCCCAATTCTTTTTAATGGTTTGTTAATATTGCTTCTTTCACCAATATTTCTGTATGTTGGCTAATCAGTATCAGTTACTCTGGCAATGCTAATATTTCATTATCTAAATTACAGAGAATGGGAGTTAACTGCTACTCCCATTGTTTTCTATAGCTAGAACACTCCAACCTTTGCACCTGGCTTTGAGTTTGATACAAAAGATATTTAAAATGTCATCCACATCCTAGTTTATTAAG